GAATTGACGACTTAAAAGCTCCGTAAATCCAAGGACCTCCACGATCATGAAATATGGACTTGGAGTGACAAAAATCATCCATCATGCATCATTTCTTCCCTTGATCTATTTAGATCTACACCACATTTAGCATCTACCTAGATCTATCGGATCATCACTACTTTTTGAGCCCAATATTCAACATTCAGGGGAGAAAATGGATTTGCTATCAGGTGTGGTTTGGGTCCCCAATCCATTTCCAAGATAGCAAATTGGGCTAAACCACTTCCCATCATATTATTTTCATTTTATTTTTTAGTATTTTGGGTTTTTTTAACATTATCACTCTCCAAATTCCCATGTCTCACATTTAACAAAGGGTGTGAATTTTTAATGTCTTAATTATCCTTATTTTCTTCTCTGTTTATAAAATAAAAGGGTATTTATGTTACTTTCTAAGATTTCATTTACTTTGAACTCATTCATTCATTCAAAAAGTGTTAAAAAATAAAAAAAATCTCAAAAATAGGAAAATATATTCAAAGTACAATTAAACAAAACACATGAGGTTAAAAAAGCAGTAAAAAATATATTCTAAAAATATCAATATGCAATGGGGGTATTTTTAGAAATAATCCAAAAAGAAAGAAAAATGTAAGAGTGAGTATTCATATCCAAAACGCTTTCCATTGCCAAAATGATAGAAAAAATAAAAACACATTATGAATAAATTTCTTGTCTTAAATTTTTTTTTATGATTTTTCAATTTTTTTTTAACATCCTCAAATTTGACGCGCCCAACTCAGGGACACTCAGACTCGCCTCCAATTTACTCGGGAGAGACGTGGTTGGCTCGCCTGAGTTTTTGCACACTGCTGTCAACTAACAATAAAGATTGTCGCCCTGCCGCCATCGCTATATGACTTATATGGGAGGAAAAAGTTTATATAAACTTGCAACCTTAGAATGTAGAATTAAAGATGCACCTAAAAAATCTAATGGAAAAAGTTGTTTTAATAATGAAAAACCATCTAATTGATCATATCGAAATAGAGATGTATGAATATGTAAAAAAAAAGAAAAAGAGAAGAAATATTGTGAGTCCTATAAATAGTGCATTTTGCAACACATTATCTAGACCGTCCATTTTTATATGTATATAGATCTACTAGTTTTCAACTATGTTTGGAGTTTAAAATTTTATAAAAATAAACTTTCAGATAATCCTAAGAATTTTTTACGCCAAATTATATGTTATGACAAGATTGGGAGGTTCGCTGTTTAAAATTGCAACCTTATAGAAACCACACCCTACATGTAATGTTGCAATGTAAAAATATCAGCAATTCTGGGGCTAAATGGAGGCCTTTACATATCGACATGACAAGAGACCTCAATTTCTTGATAATTAAGGCAAGTGTTCCATATAAACCCCATTATACTTGTTTAAAGTTGGTTAATATGAAAAAATTGCACAACCATTTGTTCCACTAAACAATCGGTTAAATATATATTTCCACGTATGGACAGTTAAAAGTGCTCTACGTTTTCAAAGAGTTAATTTTATTTTGTTTACCAATTTAAATCATGATACATTGATCAATACAATTACGTATGGAAAAAGTTTATATAAGGTGCCAACCACATACAGTCGGAAGCAAAGGGCAGCTCAAAAACTCATTGAAAAATGTTGTTTTTATTCTGAAAAATCTTTAAATTGATTATCTCGATATTGAGATGTATAGATATGAAAAAAGAAAGAAGTTTAAGTTTTAGAAATAGTACATCTTGTGATATATAATCTGAAATATTCATTTTCAATACTTAAAGTGTTTATATATCTGATCGATCTATAAAATTTTATAATTAAAGTTGAAATAAATGTTCCAGCCATCCTAAGAATTTTTAACATCAAAATTACATATTTTTACGAAATTTTGCAGGCCCGTGTTCCTTTGATTGTTTAATGTTGACACCTCATGCAATTTGCACCATGAAATACTCGGGCCGGGCTCCAGCTAGTCTAGACTTTTAAAACTATTCTTTTGAACAGCCGTAAACACGTTATTTTGAACAGCCGTAACAGCCGTAAACACGTTATTTTGACGGTTTCATAAGATGGTGCCAAATCAAGTTACATCCTTGAAAACCCTGGTGATTTGCGATATGCCTTTCAAACAAAAGAGAAGCTTGAGCAGTTGATGAGACGTTTTAAGTAACTTACTGGTCTTTGATTACTCGGGGGAGCCAACTCGGATTACCATTTGGGGATTTTAAAAAAAGTTGAAAAATTAAAAAATTCAAAAAATTAAAAAATTTATTTGTAATATATATATGTAGATAGATTATCATTTTAGAAAAGATTGAAAAGTATAATCTAAAAATTCAAGAAATTTATTCAAGAAATTTAGAAATTTATTAGTAATAATTTGTTTGCTTTTTTCTCATTTTAAAAAAGATTAGAAAGTGTTTTGACCATGAATACTTATTTTTATATTTTTTCTGTTTTTTTAGATTTTTTCTAAAAAGACCCTGTCACAAATTGATTATTTCAAAATCTATTTTTCACTACTTTTTTAACCTAATTTAGATATATCTTGTTTAATCTTATTTTGAACATATTTTTCCCGTTTTAAAATTTTTGTATCTTAATTTATTTTTAAATATATCTCGTGCAAGGATTGCAAGACCATCAATAGGAAGAATTGTAGCTGTAGAAGAGGAACCCTAGATTACGATTACCACCATCATTTTATTAACGGGTGCAGTTGGCATACATATGCTAGAGGTAAAGTGCACCGTCAAATTTTATCATGGAATATAATTTTGATGTAAAATGTTTTTAGGATTATCTTAAAATCTATTTTTATATCTAATTATTAAATTTTAAATTTCAAAAATGGTTAAAATCAAGTAGATCTATAAACATATGAAAATCTTGAAAATGGACGGTGTAGATAATATGTTGTAAAATGCATTATTTCTGGGACTTAAAATCTTTTTATTTTTCATGTTCATATATCTCGATGTCGAGATGATCAATCAAATAGTTTTTCAACATTAAAACTACCTTTTGCAATGGATTTTTGAGGTACATCCGTAGTTGTACATTATAAGGTTGCATCCTTATATAAACTTTTTCCTTTATTAAAAAATGACAATATGTTAAAATAGGTACATTCTATGAGCCTTAAGTAATTAACTTGACCAAATCTTTAGATTTCTCTTCTAAGTATTTCATTTTTCTTTAGCAATATTGACACTAAATAACATCAGTAGTGAAAAAATTGCTAAGATAAGCTAAACAGAAACTAATTAACATGAAGCCTAAATGACATCGCTCTTGTCTTGTGACACTGGTTTCAACCAGGTTGCACACCGAAAAGAGGCCATAAATCTATTATTTTTTTTAAACTTTTTTTTTAAATTTTTAATTTTTTTTATAATTTTGCCATAAATATATTATTGATGTTTAGGAAATAATGCATATCTTATAAAATAGCCCAAGATTACGACTTTATTATGAAATATTTACCTTTACCACCTTGAAGAAGAAGCAGCTACATGGCTATTATACCACAAAAGATACTAGAAGTTTAGGTAAATCTAATGGTAGATTAACCAACATAAGAATAAATGTACAAATTAAAAACTAACCACTTAATCCACCCAAAAAAGTAAAAAAATTGACCTCTAATCACACACTATCAATCCTAATATTCTTCAGATGAAAAATAAGAGAACTTACCTTCTGGCCGACCTTGAAAGTGGGTCCCTTCGATCAAGAATGGAAGCCGAACAGACTTCCCTAGCAGTAACGAACCTCGGAGAGCCTACTGTGCGTGACGGAGAGGCAAGTCGGCTTGGTGAAGAGGCCACCATCCTCCGAGCCTCTTCGAGCCACTCTTCAGTCAACTTGCCACTACTACTTCCACCGCTTGTTTCTTCAACTTCGTAATCTTCTCGTCTCTTCGAGCTTGTTTCTAGGTTCGTGTGGGTTCGGTCGGAGCTTCCAGTGCCGAAGAACCAATCGTCCATGAGCTCAGTAAGGTCTACCGAAGGCTCGGCGGTGGGCACGGATATCGGCTCCGGTGGGTTTGTGCGCCTGCTCGTGGCGCTGGGCCGTGTGGGCGCACTGGGTTTGGTAAGACGGTCCATTGGTGGTGCGAGGTGAGGGTGTGGGGACGGGAAAGCAGAGCGCATGAATTGGAGTATAAAATGGCTCCTAAGTTTCTTCTCCAAACAAGATTGTATGGGACGGTGTTTTCGAGGGAAATACCAGAAATGCCATCCTCATTTTGCGGAAATATCGATTGTCTCGTGGGGTATATCCCTGGTGGCATGTCGAAGGTCGGCATGAGAGTAAGGTCAGAAAGAGGTTTCCTTCTCGGAAATCTCTTTCTCTCTCTCAAAAAGTGAACATTCAAAAGAGAATTACACTATGTTAAAGAGAAGAGCAATAGATCCTACGATTTTGTTGCAATTTGATAAAAAAGAACGCTTGGGATACTTTTTGGTTTGAAATGTTTTTTGGTGAATACTTTTTGGTCGAAATGTTGATTGATATGCTTCAATCTTGGATTTAAAAATTGCAGTGTTTGCGAAATCGGCCGAGTAGTTTCTACTCAGTTACTCGGGCTCGGGCCCTTTGTTGAGCCTGAGTTGTCCTGAGTTAGGGGTCCAATTTGGGGATATTAAAAAAAAGTTAAAAAATAATAATAACAATTTCTAAAAATAAGAAATTGAAGATATATTATTTTACGTTTTTTTATCATTTTGGCAAACACGTCCTCTTTATAAACACAAAGCAATTAAGTGAACGGTGTGGATACGTAGAATTCTCACGTTGTAGATTCAAAATTTTTAGGCAATGAAAGTGATATCCTAGATTGTAATGTTGTGTATTGGGCCGTGTATTTAGGATATCACTTTCATTGCCTAAAAACAAAAATTTTATTGATAAAGGACAAATTACAATTTCAATTCTAAATCAAACACGAATCCTAATTGAAATAGGATTTCTAATGCACATACATACCAATAAAGAAACCTTTGAGAAGCTACTTAATGAATTGTGTTTAGAATTATCTCCGTGGGACTTAGCGCACCCACACCCGAATACCTAGCCAATCGTGCCCTATATATTTAGGTCTTGCTTGAGTCTTCTATATGGGAAGCACCTTGGCAATACCCTTTAGCTTTAAATTGGGGTAAGAAACTTAGGGTTTCTTTTCAACCCTCTAAAAGACAAGGATTTCTTTTCATCCCTTTTCAAGCCTTGGAGCATGCCACAATGTGGCACTACTCCTAAACAAACTGGGCTGGGCTTGCCCTCTTTTGGATGGCCTAGGTGGGGTATGCGCCCTCTTATAGCCAAGTTTAGATAGGGGCGTGCCACCCTAAATAGAGAGAGATGATAGAGAGAGACAAAGAGAGACTAGAAATTGATTTGGGGTGAATAAGGTAGGACTTCCGCACTATATAGGGTCCCATGACCTAAGGCATGCAAACTTCTAATAGGATTCAACTGTCACCTTAGGAATTCCAGGAACCTTGTGAGGTTCAGAGAGAATTCTTGAATCATTTTCCCTCAAATCCTTGACGGATATCCACTTTTATTCCAACTAAGATTAGAACTTGATAAAACAAACTCAACTAGGGTTTCACTATTGGGTTTATGTGGCATTTAAAGACCTTAAGAGAGTTTGTATAAATATTTGAATAAATGAATCATAAACTCAGTGGCAGTGTGGTTATCTTGTGGACCATATTAGGCTAATATAATTTGTCGATACTCGGATTAGGTTTGATGTGCTAGGCTAGCTGAGTTGGAAACCCAAGGTACTTGGGCATAGAGATGAAACAGAGGAGAGATTAGTGGCTTAGTCTTTAATGAGGTCGAAATATGCCTGGATGATAGCTGAGGGACAATGTGACTTTTGTATGTGATGAATAGTCTATAGAGACATGACTAAGACCTCATTGTTATATCATCACATAATATGTACATAGATAGCCGTACTGAATAGTAATCGACCATTGAGGGTGAAACGTATACATGTATGAAAGATTACCCCTATGTACCATAGAGTCATGGTTGCATCATGATCTGGTGGATCATGGTTTGTCTTTAGGGGAGAACCTGAAATTCATAGACTTGGATTGCATCCCCAAACCTATTGATTGACTTTGGTGGTCCAATCATGAGCCCTTGCAGTAGACTGTGGGTTAAGAAAGCTAGTGTGGTTTGGACCAGGTGCAGTGTGCCTGTGCATTGATTAAATCCTTGACCTATTCGGATCTGATTTGCATCAAAATTAATTTAATTTAATGAATTTTATGTTATTTGATTTTTAGAATGCTTATTTGATTTTTTGTGAATCTACTAATATTTTAATTTTTTCATTTGGATTTATAAATCATGAGAAATTCAATTGCTAAAGTTTTAAATAAACTAAGAGATTTAAAAACCTAAAAATGAAAAATAATTTTTCTAAAAATATATGGGACCCTCCATAAGTATTGGAGGCCCATTTAATCACATGGGACATTTTTTTTTTTTGATAGAAATGTCCCAAATCACATGGGACATTTGGTGGGGCCCATGAGTGGCCACCAAAGGGTGACACACCCCAACCCTAGCTGGTCTTAGGGGGCCATGCCCCAACCTAACCCATTATCTCTAAATTGGGTGGCACGCCTTGGTTAAGTTAAACTTGTCCTTCTCTCATGGGTTCTAAATCAAGCTAAGTTGGTTTGTGATTTTGCGTAGCAAAGGAATCATCCCTTAGCTAGTAGTTTTCTCTTTCATATCTTTGATATCTATCTCTTATAAGGGTCAGGCCAAGGGGATTGAATTATACTAAAATATTGAGACTTTAGGTGGGAGATTCTAGATCGAGATCCATGTTCATTGATTGGGCTATGCCATAAGATAGAGAAATATATAGACAGATAAAAAATCCTGAGCACTATCGGAAAGAGGAGACTTAACGTGGGGTGTATTAAACCCTGTTGAGGTAGTCTCTAACAATTTTATTTCTTTAAAGTTCTATTTGTACTGTGTTCTTCTTTCCCTATAAAGCAAAGAGTCTAAGTTTTTCATTATTATGTAAAAACTTTGTTTTAGATGGTAGCAAGTGGGATCCTATATTTCTTTATTTATTTGTTGCAAGTGAAATTTAATTGTAATTGGACATTGTGAGTGATCTTGCCGGGTGATTTTTTTTTTTTAAAAAAAATATATACTGTGCATTATCACATAGTCTATCTTTCATTCTCTCTCACTCAAAATTTTTTACTTTAGAGATCCAAAAATAAAAATATCTAATTTCAAAGACAAAAAGTCAATTTTAAACGAAGAAAATCTATCCATAATACTTTCTTTAACTAACTCCTACTTAGAACAATAGTGAGAGGGGCGTCCCTCCCTTGTGGGCCTACATCCCACAACATGTGGTCCAATAGTATCGGGGCTGGGCCCGCTGGATCTCACACTAAAACATGGCCATCCAAAATATAAGAAAAATATCAAAAGTGCCTTTTTAGGGTTTTAATATTTGAAATTCATAAAGGGTGGTAAAAAGAAAGTTTTTTAGGTTTCTAAAAATTCTAAATCACTTTTTAAAATAATTCTAGAAGGGCGTTGGATACACTGTATTGCGAAAAGTGACTTATCAAGGCGTTTCACTTATGCTAAACGTCTTAAATCTACAACAGCATTCTCAAACTAATCCAACAATAACTATGACCTTCATTCAATTACAAAGTCATATGATTAACTCGTTAAAGTTGGCCAATAAATAGGAGAACTAGGAATTAAGTGTGTCCATTACAAGTACCCATTGAAAACAAGTCATATCAATAAGGGAAAAGTTTATATAGAGCCGAGGCTCTAAACAATCAAATTCGAGCCTAGCTCAAAAAATTCCATTAGAAGAGGTTGTTTTGATGCCCAAATATCCTCAAATTGATCATCTCAACATCAAGATGCATGGACATGAGCAAAAAAATGGATTTCAAGTTTTGGAAATAGTGTATTTTGTAACGCATTTTTTGACCGTCAATTTTAAAGATTTTCATAAATCTCTCGATCTACATTATTTTTTAAGCTTTAAACTTTATAAATAAAGATGAAAATATATTTTAAGGCTATCAAAAAACTTTCCATAATTGAAACCATATTTCTCGATACTATTTGAAGGTAAGCTCTAATTTGATTGTTTAGAGCCTAGGCTCTACATAAACCGCACCCTATCAATAATGATGCACACAAATATATTACTATGGTGCAGAAGAACACTCTTTTACTCACATGTGCACGTCCCTCTTAAGGATGTTTCCAAAAATGCACCTATCATGTATACACACCACAACGAATGATGACCCTACAATGTAACCCATTATGGTAGTGCCTACACCTAGGTAAAGGTTTCGGAGATGACTAGGGCCTAAACCACTTAACCTAAGGTCAGTCAATAATTTATACACTCCCATTGAAGTACACATCTACAATAACTTTTTAGTTTTTTATATGTGCTTAAGGCCTTTAAAAGCCACAAACCCCCATGTCAAGCACATTGAGCACAGGAAAAATAGCGTTTCGTAATGTTTTTTTAAATGTTAAGGAACAACCCCTTGGTCTAGGTGATCAAGGTGGCAGAGCCACACGTGGCCTCAAACGGGAAAAAAATAAAATAAAAAATATCATCCAATGTTTCTTAGAAAGAATTGATGTTGTAATATTAACCCCACAAATACATTTCCTGTATAAGCCAATTACGTAAACCAAATATTCCTAAAATACCTCAACCTTATAACTATCTTACTTCAGAACCAAATAGTATAAAACACCATAGAAACCTTCCAACAAAGCCTTTTCCTCACTTGGGAAACCTTAAGCAGGATTTGCTGGAAAGGGGTATAGCAAGAGCAAGCTAGTATGCCATTTAACATTTTTATGTAAGAAACAAGGTTAAAAAAATCGACTCTGCAAAGGTAGTTGGCACTTGGCCGAGCCGATTTACTCTGGCGGGACCGAGTAGCTTGCCCGAGTAGAATTCATGTTTAAAAAAGAAAAAATCAACACCAAATTTAATGGATATATAATATATCCTTCACCCTTTTAGAATTAGGTATTGAGTGGTGTATTGGTTAGGTTCATCTTTTTAAGCGGCTTTTGTAGTTAATACGTCTCGGGTTCCAAT